TTTTTAATATCTATTTCTGGTTAAACACATTTCCCAAAAAGATGAACTATCATGTCCTTGCACATTTTAAGAAGTTAATAAAAATAACATATAGAATTATATGCTAGCTTAAAGTAATATAGTCTCAAAGGCACAATTTGTATTAAATAATCTATAATTCAGATACTCAATAAACATGTTTCCTTTTATATAAAACAAAATCTTGAGAAAAATATAATTCCTTGTTTAGAACTTCACCTTTTAAGGTACTTCTTGGGCTTTGGTTTCATGTTGACCGGCAGACACATTTCTGTAACTTCTAAAAGTAACATTCTTCAAAATATAAAGAAAATAATAAGCAGCTTCAGTAGTACTAGCACTATTCATAATGGCAATAGAAATAGTAGCTATCATTTTATAAAAGACTACTTTTACTTAGTACTTCATTTCTATTAGCTCATTCTGCCAGCATAATAACTTTTTGAAGTAGGTTCAATACAAAGTTTATTTTACAAAGGAGGAAACAGAGAGTTAGTGAGATTTGTGACTTGGTTTAATGTAAACTATTGTGTAGACTCTTAATAATTGCAAAATTTATACATAGATACTAAACACCAAAAAATAATAAATATTCAATACTCCCCTCTCTCTAAGGTTATTAAGAATGAGATTCTATAACTTCTTTGTCCACAAACTGAATCCAGTGGAAAGAATAATATTAAATGTCCAAGTATATTATATTAGAAATTTTAAAAATCTGAACAATTGCTAACATAATTATTCATCAAAATAAATATTAAAGGTAGATGAAATCATATTTCTATAAAACTATAAAATTTCAGGCACTGATCTTAAATTAGTATTTTATTGTTTCAAGGGCACAGAATATTCATGAAAATTCAGACATAGGACAGGATTCTGAAACAGTCACACTCTCAAGAGCATAACTAGCCCTCCTTGAATGTGCATAATTATAAACATATTGCCTTAATCTTGACACTCTTTAGATTCTTTAAAGAAAGCATCAAATGTTTTGCAGTTCTAAGATTGGTATATTGGTCAGCATTAGATTTGACCTTACAAAGAGCAGATTATACCAGATCAATTGTATTATCTTCTATGATAAAAGAATAGTCCTCAAAGGAAAAAAAAAAATGATAGAATTTCATTTACTGCACCTGAGTTAGATTTCTATTTTCAACATATAATCTGATTAGCAAATAAGTACAAAGGTTTATGGATCATCCTCCAAAGAATCTTTATAGAAGTTCTATGGAGGTTTCCCTAGAAGCTGTCTTAGGAACTGGGCATGCAGGCACATGGGCCCCTGGATTTTCCTTCATGGTTTCAAGTACAGCAGCTCTTTTTTGTATGTTTTTATTTATTTATTTATTTATTTATCTATCTATCTATTTATTTATTTATTCTGGCCATAAAGTGTGTTTAAAGAAGAATAGCTCTACCTCAAAATTCAGAAAATATTCTTACAAGCCATACACCTACCAGTATATTCTCAGTTGGATGGTACATCAGCTTCTAAGGTCTCTTAAGACTAAAGTCCTTAACTGGAGCTATCTAGCAGAGATTACAAAGCAGATAAAGAACTAGTATAATTCAATATTTTGTTTAGTAATCTAGAGGAAGGAACTGAGATTATAATTTCATGTTTCTAATTAATGCTAATTAGATACAGTCACAACCAAATGGCTAACAGACATATGAAAAAATGTTCAACATCACTAGCCATCAGGGAAATACAAATCAAAACCACAATGAGATATCACTTTACTCCAGTTAGAATGGCCAAAATTAACAAGACAGGAAACAACAAGTGTTGGCGAGGTTGTGGAGAAAGGGGAACCCTCTTACACTGTTGGCGGGAATGTAAGCTGGTACAGCCACTCTGGAAAACAGTATGGATGTTCCACAAGATGTTAAAAAGAGAGCTACTCTATGACCCAGCAATTGTGCTACTACATATTTACAAAGATACAGATGTAGTAAAAAGAAGGGGCACATGCACCCCAATGTTCATAGCAGCAATGTTTACAATAGCCAAATTGTGGAAGGAACCAAGATGCCCTTCAACAGATGAATGAATAAAGAAGTTGTGCTTCATATATATAACAGAATATTATTAGGTCATCAGAAAGGATGAGTACCCACCATCTTCATTGACATAGACAGACCTGGAGAGGATTATGTTAATGGAAATAAGCCAAGCAGAGAAAGAAAATTATATGGTTTCACTCATATGTAGAACATAAGGAATAGAGCAGAGGACCATGGGGGAAGGGAGGGAAAACTGAATGAAGAAATCAGAGAGGAATACAAACCACAAGGGATTCTATACTCTGGGAAACAAACTGAAGGTTACAGAAGGGAGGGGAGTAGTGCAATGGAGTAACCGGGTGATGGGTATTAAGAAGGGCACATGTTGGGATAAGCACTGGGTATTACAGGTAACTAATGAATCGTGAAAACTACTTCAAAAACATGACATACTACATGCTGGCTAACTGAACATAATAAAATAAATGAATAAATAAATAAAAGCAACCTGATAAATTGTACAAAAAAATCATTTAGAAATATAATAAAGTTTATTATGATAAGGCTTTATGGCCAAGACCAAACCTATCAAATAAAAATGGAGAATATACAGAAACAGCAGGGTAAAAATAAAAATAAAAGGAAATCATTGTCTATCCAACAATCTTGCTGTTTAAGAGGGAAAAAAATAAGTTCACAGCAGTTGGCTGTGTTATTGGCAATAACAAAAGAACAAGTTTTCCACTTTATTTGACTTTGGACAGGTCCTAATTAGAGTATGCTTTTTGATAGTCTTATTTGAGAATTTTGTTGAAAAGTTAAATAAGGACTGGTAAAGAACACAAAATACTAAATTATTCCTATGAGGAAAAGTTAAAAGAAATTAAAGTATGTACCTTGAAGAAGAGATGACTATAGGGAAATATTACTGCCCTCTAAGGCTATTAAATAATTATAATAAATTGTTCTCTTGCCCTACAGAGGATTGCTGGATATGAGAGATATACAGAAATAATGGCAAGATAATTTGATTTGCTATAAGTAAGCTATTTTGATAATAAGGAAACTTTTAAATAATAAAATGTACAAATGGGGCAAACTACAAGACTTTTTTCATCCATAGATAGCTTTTTCAGGGGAAAAAAAAAAAAAAGCACTTTCTACCTTGCTTCACCTATGCTATTTCACTGGTTTAATCTTATCACATATCTACCCAGGGATACTGGGAATGCAGGTGTTTTACTCTGGAAAGTCTATTTCCTGAAATTCATGTGTCTTCACTCGATGTTTCTCTCCTGGTTCTACCTATCTTCTCAGTTTTGGATTATTACCAGTCTGCTAGTCCACTAGTCCACATGGGTAAGGTTTAAAATCCTTTTTAGAGTAAGAAAATATTTGAAAAAATATTTTGCAGCTCAGACATAATACTCGTACAGTGCCACAGCACTCAATCCCATATGAACAAATACTTCCTGGATGTTTGCAAATACATACATGAAGTTTCTCTTTCATGTATTATTGGCTTCCTTTCAGGTTTTGCCATGCTCTGAAATGCTAGATCCTATATATTGACACCTTTAACTTTTCTTTTAGAATTTCTTTCATAAGCATCCATTGGCCCCTGCCAGTGTCTTCAACTTTCACTGGCACTTTTCCTTACAAGATCCCCAAATGACTCCATTTTTATGTACTGCTCTGTTTACATTAACTATGACATTTAAGCCCATCAGATATGATTGGTGCTCTGACCATATATCCTCAGAACTTATAGTTCCATCTTTATAGTTTCACTAACAGTTAAATGTAGAGACTTTTAAATTAAACTCTATTCATACTTAACAAATTACACTCACCATTCCTACTGAATTTTCTCACTGCAAGCACCTGCCACTCTCCCTGAGGATTGCTTTTTTTGGTTACAAGAGTTTGACTGACCCACACAGGAGACTTTAGTAACATCTCTGAGGCAGGGTAGTCTTTAATCAAGGATGAATAGGTAGATAAATTGGGTTTTGTTCACCTCAGGTAAGGTAATTATGAGGTGTATTCTATAGTATCACCTAGATTTCCCAGCAGGATTAAGTCCTAGCTTCCAGTAGTGATGCATGATAACATCTTACTGGTTTACTTCCCTTCCCTGCCTCACTTTTACTGTCTTAATTTTTCCTAAATAGACTACTAGTCCCCCTAAATAGACTAATGGTAACACAAATCCTTATCTCAAGATCTGCCTTCAGGTGAACCTATTCTAAGATAAAATATCCCCATATCTTTTCATGGGCATTTTCCGAAAACTTCCACTGTTTTTCAAATACAATTTGAATAAACACCCCACATTAATATTTGAGTTAAAAGAAATAACCCTGGGGTCTGTGTTTGCAGTATGCCCACAATAAATGTCTCACTTTCACCCTTAAGAAGGCTGCATATATTCCCCCAAACAGACAATTCACAGACTGGGGCAGTTCAAGTGTTTGTTGTTCTTGTCAGCTCCAAGTGTGATTTCTTAAAGAACAGTCAGTCTGTGAGTCTCTAATCCAGTATGAGAGGGTTTGACCGTAGAAACACCCTATTTTAGACACACTTTCTTACTGATTTCAATACAGTGATGAGAAAGATGCTTTCCTTTCCATTCAAGAAAAGAAATCAAATTACTTTATGTATTTTCCTTTGGCTCCTGATCATGCTATGTGACACTTCAGTGAATTCCGCACACAAGGAATCCTATCATTTCTGCACACACAGCAGTTAAATGTGCTCATTTGCATAAGTTATAACCAAATACATAAGTGAAAGTGTTGTTTGTGACAGTAGATTTCACTTCAGGGATACATATAAATTTCTAAAGTTCGAATAGATTTCAGCATTGACATTATGAAATAGAAATAAAATATTTCTTGTAATCATTCCAAGCATTCCAGATGGTTAGGAGCATTGTGATATTTCAATGGAAAGCAAAGCAAACTTACCCGAATCATCATGACTGAACATCTGATATCATGAATTGTATCATAGATCTTCTTTGAGATGTCCACAAATTGATCATCATCAAATACATCCAAAGAGTTTTTATTTAAGGCTTCTAAGGCAACATCCACTTGTGTTACAAACTCAGGTATTGCTGTTAAAATTAATAAGAAAGAAAAGATTGTCCCATTCGTATTTTCTGATTTCTGGAGTTTCATAAAAATATGAGACATATTTTAAATAAATAGTTGGTTAATAGGATTTTAACAATTTTTTTCATGTAAAGAAACAAAATGTTTTGGCAGGCAATTTTGGATCTCTGAAAAGTGAAGGGAAACAAAGACAATAAAATATATATTTTATAGAAATGTTTTAAAAGATTATCTTTCTCCTTCATGTCACTTTCATTTCCACTAAAGCTAGAACCATATAATAATTTCTCATCCTATTCAATATAAGCCCCAAGAAATTACCAAAAAGAATTGGTGTGTTAACAACTGAAATTATAAACATAAAGATATTTAAAGAAAGAAAGCATTTGAGTTGCTAAATATAAGAAATTTAATTAAAGGTAACAACTCTATCTCAGAGATATAACAGAAACATCATAAACTGTCTTTCATTAAGATGTTTTCCCTAATATCAAAGAGATTAGTGGAGAAAGGGGGTTCCAAGATGGTGGTGTAGGAAGACTCTGAATTCATTCCCTATCATGGACACACCATGATAGCTATATATGGAGTAATTCTGTAGCTATATGTGGAGTAATTCCCACTGAAAAAGAACTGAAAACTAGCTAAACAGCTCTTTCTACAGCAAGGGATAAAAGGACTACATCAAGACAGGTAGGAACGGCATTCTCCCCCAAATACTACCCACACAATAGGGAGGAAATTTCAAGGTTCCAGAGCTTATCCCTAAGGAGTGATGAGTTTGGGCTCCATGTCAGGCATCCTAACCTTTAGGATCTGCACCAGAGAGATGAAGCCCCCAAAACATCTTGCTCTAGAAACCAGTGGTGCTTATATTTGGGGAACCCAGGGAATTGCAGAATATCAGATACTACTTTTGAGGGCTAGCACATAGATTCACTCATCCAAGGACACAGCGCAAAGGCTGAAGTCTGAGAGGTGCTGAAAGATGAGTGAAGGAGATTTATTTGCTAATCTTATAACATTTGCCAGAGGCACAGGAACAAGTTGGGATGTTCTTTGGGGATGGAGGTGATGATAAAACCATATTTATATTCTCCTTCTAACTTGCTAGCCCAGGTGGGTGTGGGTAAACACAGCCTCACTAAAGCCAAGTGTGTGCCCACCCAGGCTCTCCTCTCAGATATTGCTAACCCTGCAGACATACACTGTCCCCAGAATATTTTCCTGGTCTCACTAAAGCCATGGGCTTTGCATCCTTCTTTGGCCTCACCAAAGTTTATAGATACCTCCAGAAAGGAGCTTATACACTCATCTCAACACCAGTTATTACAACCATCAACCAGGGGACACTCTAGATCCTCTAGCCTGGAAGTCACTGGGTATACAACTGTGATCCCAAGGACTATATATATTTACATACATTAAATGCTGCTGCCTAAAGACTTGGCTTCTAAGCAGCTGAAAGTAGGCGCTGACTGAGATCACTCTCTTTGGTACACTGACAGGTCTTGTCACATCCTCAATCATTGTAATTTATCAAGAATAAATAAGCCAAAACAAAACTACCACCACCAACAAAGCCAGGTTACTTAGACAATCACAAAGGTTCAAAAGACAGCCAAAGCCTGGGCAACGTTGAGCTCCTACACAAAGCTACTCCTTAAATACTAAGAAAAGTCAGTGTTTCATATAATACTTAGAAACAAACACAAAGGTGAAGGAAAGTGGGGAAATTGAGGAATATGTTCTAAACAAACAAAGCAAAAACAAAAACAAAAACAAAACAAACAAAAAGAAATTCAGAAAAAGACCTTAATTGAACAGAGATAAGTTATCTATCTGATAAAGAGTTCAAAGTAATGATCATAAAGATGCTCACCAAATTCATAAAGATAAAGAAGAATTAATGAACATGGTAAAAACTTCCAAAAGACATAGAAAATGTAAGAATGTATCAAACAGTGATCAGAGAGCTGAAAAATGTAGTAATTGTACTGAAAGAATATAACAGAAGAATTCAGCAGTAGACTAGAAGAAGGACAAGAGTAGATCACTAATCTGAAAGATGGGGCAGTAGAACTCACCTAAAGAATGCAGAAACAAACAAACAAACAAACAAACAAATAAATAAATGAAAATACCTTAAGAGACCTATGAGACAATATCAAACAGAATAATATTTGCATTACAGAGGTCCCAGAAGGAAAAGAGAGAGAAAAGGAAAGAAAATGAGTTTGAAGAAATAATGTCTAAAAACTTACAATCTTAGGGAAGGAAAGAGATATCTAGGTCCAGGAAACACAAAGAATTCTGAAGAAGATAAATCCAAAGGTATCAACAAGAAGATACATAATAAGTAAAATGTCAGAAGTTAAAGATTAAGAAAGAATCTTAAAAACAGCAAGAGAAAAACAACTTATTATATGCAAGGAATCCCCATATGACTATCAACTGTTTTTGTTGTTGTTGTTGTTGTTGTTGTTGTTTTGTTTTGTTTTCAGCAGAAACATTACAGTCCAGAAGGAAATAGAAATATATATTCAAAGTGCTGAAAGGGAAAAAACTTCTCACCAAGAATATTCTACCCAGCAAGGCTGTCGTTCAGAATTGATGGATAGATAAAAGAGTTTTCCAGGTGGGCAAAAGCTAAAGGATTCACCAACATCAAACCAGCATTTTAAGAAATGTTAAAGGGAATTCTTGAAAAAAAGAAAAAGAAAAGAAAAAGAGAGAAAAGAAAAGAAAAGAAAAGTAAGGTCACTAACTAATTACAAGAAAACATATGAAAGTAAAAATCTCACTGGTAAAGGTAAACATATAGTAAAGGTAGTAAATCAACCACTTATAAAGCTAATGTGAAAGTTAAGAGACAAAAGCAGTAAAATTAATCACACAGTAAGGGGATTACAAAATTTTAGAAATGTAAAATACAACATCAAAAACATAATGTTTCTGTGGGAGAAGTAAAAATACAGAGGTTTAAAAAGCATTCAACTTTCTTTTTTTTTTTTTTCAAGAAACAGATTCTTTTTTTTTTTTAAACAGATTTTATTTATTTATTTGACAGAGAGATCACAAGTAGGCAGAGAGAGAGAGAGGAGGAAGTAGGCTCCCTGCTGAGCAGAGAGCCTGATGCGGGACTTGATCCCAGGACCCTGAGATCATGACCTGAGCCAAAGGCAGAAGCTTAACCCACTGAGCCACCCAGGCACCCTAAAATGCATTCAACTTTCAATCAATTTAAAATATGTGAACCTTACGGTAACCTCAGAGCAGAAACCTATATTAGCTACATTAAAGATAAAGATTAAGGAATGTAAACAAAACAAAAAAGAAAGTCATCAAACCACAAGGGAAGAGAACAAGAGAAGAAAGGAATGGAGAGGAACTACAAAAAACAGCCATAAAACAATTAACCACATGGCAATAAGTACATAGTTGTGAATAATTACTTTAAATGGTAATGAAGTAAATTCTCCAAACAGTGGCTAAATGGATAAAAAAGCAAAACATCTGTATGTGACCTACAAGACACTAAATACAAACCAAAGGAGAAACAGAGTAAAAGTGAAGAGATGGAAAAAGTATTCCATGCAAATGGAAACAAAAAGAAAGCCGATATAGCTGTACTTTTATCAGACAAAACAGACTTCAAAACAAGGAGTGTAACAGAATACAAAAAAAAAAAAAGTTACATAAAGATGAAGAAGTAGGGGCGTTGGGGTGGCTCAGTGGGTTAAGCCTTTGCCTTTGGCTCAAGTCATGATCTCAGGGTCCTCGAATCAAGCACCATTTCAGGCTCTCTGCTCAGCGGGGAGCCTGCTTCCTCCTCTTTCTCTGCTTGCTTCTCTGCCTACTTGTGACTTTTCTTTCTCTCTGTCAAATAAATAAATAAAAACTTAAAAAAAAAAAAAGACAAGACAATCCAACAAGAGGATATAACATTTGTAAATATTTATGCACCAACACAGGAACATCTAAAAATATAAAGCAAATATAAACAAACTTAAAGGAAACATTGACAGCAATACATTAATGTAAGGGACTTTAATAGTCCCACTTATATCAACAGACAAATCATCCAGACCAAAAAATCTATTAAAAAAACCCAAAAACTTTAAAAAACACATTAGACCAGGTGGATCTAATAGATGTATACAGAACATTCCATTCAGTAGTAGGACATATTTATTTTTCTGGTGTGCACATGGAATGATAGATCACATGATAGGAAACAAAACAAGTTTCAATAAAATTAAGAAGAATTAGGGGAGAGGAAAAAGATGATGGAGGAGCAGGAGACCAAAATATTATCAGGAGTTCAGCTAGATAGTTATCAAACCATTCTGAACACCTATAAACTCAACAGGAGATAGAAGAGAAGAAGAGTGGAAATTCTAGGGAGAGAAAATTGACCACTTTCCAGAAAATAGAACTTGCAGAGAAGTGAATCTGAGGTGACAGGAAGATAGACCATGGGGGGAGGGGGCGGCTCCCAGCAAGTGAGAGAGTGGTAGAGCACAAAACAGGAATTTTTGGAAGTCTGCTCCACTGAGGGACGTCACTCCAGAGGCTAAGCAGGGAGTGGAGCCCTCGCAGGGATGGTGTGGTCTCAGGACCCACAGGGATACAAAAAGATTAGGGGTGCCTGAGTGTGGCAGAGCTGCCAGGTATCAGAGAGGGGAAGCCAGCTACAGAGACAGAGCCAAGAAGTGGGTTGTCAGCTCGGGGTTACCTTAAACCATGATCCAAGGCACAATGGGGCCCCTGCTCTTTAAGCAGGGACCCCACAAGTCGCAGATCCAGAGAGACTCCCCTTTTTCTCCTCCAGGAGGTGTGGCATGGGAGCACAGGGCAGGAATCTGCTGGGTTTGGAGACTCCAAATGGACTATGTTCAAGAGATAGAAATGCTAGGTCATAGGCCAGGTGAGCACAGAGTATGGCTGGAGACCAGAAAGATGGGATAGATTGACTGCCTTTCTCTGAGGGTGCACTGTG